CTGGTGCTTTGTTTTCCATAGTGGGAGTCTGTCTCTGGGTCGTTATCTGGTTCTGCTGTGGAATTTCGATCCCTCGGTTCCTCTGCGGAAGGCGTGCGCATATCCGGCAATATGCTTATTCCCGCTTGGCTTCTTGAATCTGCGCACTCTCCGAGCTCAGAGTCTCTCGGGAGGTTGATCTCCGGATTTGCACTCATGCTGCCATAAGGTCCTTCTCTTCTGTTGAAATGTCGAAGAGCTACACCGAGGATTTCGCAATGAACGCGTCAGAGTCTAAAAGCAAGCGTGAACCCGGTGACGCTGAAAAGCGCGACCTTCATAGCTTAAGCGGCGGTTAGGTCTGGTCCGCTAACCCACAGGCGTAGCCGATATGCATCCCAACGAACAACTGGACGGTGTGGGACGCCCGGTTCTCTCCCGACGGGATTCGTAGAAATCGTTTGCATTGGTCGGGAATAGGACTCCTTCTCCATCTTCCAGGCCCACATGCATGGGGGCGTCCCGCTTCGGGGTAAACTTGGGAATTTATCGTGTACACCGACATGCCAAGGCCGCCTCGAAATCTCTGGCTGCTGGAGCGCGTGCAGAATAGGGTAGATCCGGTGCGTCATGCGGGAAGGAGTCTGGCGCGCCTCAAGCAAAGGCATCTCGACTCGGACAAGCAAATGGCTCCCCGACATCATCGGCGGGAAGTATCGGCACCTGGGCAAAAGCAAGCAGCCTCATCGTCACTCAATCCTGTGATAACCAGCACAGATATGCATCGTGTCCTTGATGAGTCGCCGCAAGGGTTCCAGCTCGGAAGTTCGGCCCAAGTTCACTTTGGGGTTTCAGGCGAGAAGAAAGAGGACCCTGCCGAGGTTGCCGATGTGAAGCTGTCCTAGGAGGGAGTAGCGACGTTGGAGCGCGTATGTAACGTATGGAGGTGTAGTCAGGTGGCTACCTAGGTACTCGCTGTGTATGCTACAAGCGTGACCCCGCGACATTAGAGTTCGCGCGACGCGTGGGAACGGCGTGTGTGTTCAGGCGGGCAGTCACGAAATTCTTGCCGCCATGAAGCTACCCATCTCAGAAGAGTTTCGCGTAACCTCCGCACTGCCAGCTGCTGCTAATGTTTGTGAAAGCGCACTTGTTGGAAGAGCGCGACTTCCCCAATCGTTCGGTTGAGCGACACGGCCAAACATCCCGCCTCGATATCCATGGAGGCTGCTGTATCCCAATGTCGCAATTGCATACTGATCACCCAGTCTCACACGGCAAACGACAATGCGCGCAGTTGATGCACAAAGCTACCGAGAGATTGGATCAAGCAAACGCCATATCAGTCGTTGGAACGTCTGCAAACGCTCTGACATGGTTCGGAGCCTATTCGAAGTCTGATAAGTAGGGATATCGCTGAGAAATCACCAACAACAACATCATTGGCTTCTACCTGCTTCCAGTTGCGACGAATGCTCGGCAGGAGGGGCAACAATTGGCAAGCGATACCGCCGGAGATGTCGAGTCTGTGATTCGTCCACTGCCCAAACGACGTGGGCAAATTCAATGGCAGAAAAAGCTCTGGTGGAGTTCACGTGAGATACGTGACGATTGCGCAATATACGCTAGCTGGAAGTGTTGGTCGTTCAATGTTGTGTATGGCCTTACAAGAGGACAAAAAGGCATCATCGACCCCTCAACTTCTTCTCTCCCTCATAATACCGCTCCAACATCCCAAATTACAACTAGGAGATACCTCGATATCTACCACAGTCCCACTCAGACACTAAATCACACAACCAGGTACGTTGGCTGCTTGCGACCTACCCCGCCACCCCGCATGTTTGCGCAAATCGCTGGGACCTGAGCTAACATGGGCGCAAAAGACACAATGAGCGACCGACCAGAGCCTCTCCGTCTGGGCAGCAAGGCCCCCAACTTCAAGGCCGAGACGACCCAGGGCCCCATCGACTTCCACGAGTTCATCGGCGACAACTGGGTCATCCTGTTCTCGCATCCCGAGGACTACACCCCCGTATGCACAACTGAGCTCGGCGCTTTCGCAAAGCTCGAGCCTGAGTTCAGCCGTCGCGGTGCTAAGCTCATCGGTCTCTCTGCCAACACCGTCGACTCGCACGATGGCTGGATCAAGGACATTGACGAGATCTCCGGCAGCAAGCTCAAGTTCCCCATCATTGGCGACAAGGACCGCCAGATCGCGTTGGCATACGACATGTAGGTAGAGATTCGTTGCGACCTACGACTCGCGACATGGCTAACGACATGAACAGGATCGACCACCAGGACGCGACCAACGTCGACAGCAAGGGCATTGCCTTCACCATCCGCTCCGTCTTCATCATCGACCCCAAGAAGACCATCCGCCTCATCCTCTCATACCCCGCCAGCACCGGCCGCAACACAGCTGAGGTTCTCCGCGTTCTCGACAGCCTGCAGACCGGCGACAAGCACAAGATTACCACCCCAATTGTAAGTTTTGACTGTACGAAGTGCATGTGCGACATATACTGATTTCGTACCAGAACTGGATCCCTGGTGACGACGTTATTGTCCACCCAGCCGTCAAGACCGAGGATGCTAAGACTATGTTTCCCGATATCAGAATTGTGAAGCCTTACTTGCGCTTCACTCCTCTCCCGTATGCTGAAGCCCCAAGATCTACATGAGACATGCGCTGACTTGTACTAGTAAGGAGAAGACCACCGCTGCTTAGAGGGCCCGATACCGACGACGCGACACCACGAAACGAGATAGCCTTAGGGCTCATACCCGTCTTGTAGCGGTGGACGCTGGGCGAGATTGGATAATGAGAAGGCACAGTAGATAGGCCAGTCTACGATTAGATGCGAAAAATGAAATGGCATGATCACGACAGAAGTCTATTCATGTGCTCGTCCTTTTCAGGTCGCTTCTGGAGATTGTGGTGTCGTAGAGCGGTCTGCGCCGGACTATTAGTCCCTGTGGTAATGATACCGCATGAGCAACACTCGCATCTTGAAAGCGTGCCGCTGTTGTATGACATGCCGCGAGCTTACCTAGTTGGGTAGGCACGATGGACAAGCATCTGCGATGTCTACGAGGATACTGACTTAGGCTTCCTGTGATTTTAGACACCCAGATGATAGTTTCATGTATGCGCAGCTTGAAGAACGAGAGACTCGGAACACATGAACGGCAGTATTGATGATTCCACGTCGCGTTCAATTGGTGCTGCTGATTGCGGCCCCCAACGCGCCGCCACGTCCTTGGGCGTACGCCGCATGCCTGCTGATGAGCAGCCCACCTTCGTTTCTCTGCCTCGCATGTACAGTTTCATCGTATAACCAACAAGATGCCAGAGATTACGTTCGTGTTTGGTCCGCGCAATAGCTTTTTCTTCGACTGTCGCCAAACATGGAAGTTGTGAGTTGCGCATGCTGGTGAGGAAGGCGCGGCTAACATGGTGCAGCCACGAGATACCGCAGACGCTTCGCCAGTTGTTCAAGAGCTCCATGAGCAATCCATGGAGAGTCGCTAGCCCCTACTGTCTCGCGCTTGCGCCTCAGGGAGATTCTCCAGAGCCGATTTGGTATATCGGGTGTAAGACGTTAGATGGGGAGGACAAGCTCTGTAAGTAGCACCCCGGCCCAAATTCCGCGACCATGAAACGCATGGCGATGACGGCGCGGGCCAGCCCCATCGCACCTACCAAGCTAATCAGAACCAGTCCACTCACGGACCTACTTCGATCTCAACTATCCCGATCTCGCGCAGTGGCTAAAGTCGTTCCCGAATGCAGCCAGCTTGTGCTTCGTCACCTTCGGCCACAAGTTCAGCTACTTCGCGTGCGCACCCGGACAGGGCTCGATATGGGCTGCTATACCTTCAGGTCTAGAGGATAGAGTGAAGAAGTCGCTGGTAACGCCGACTTGTGTTGGCCTTGGGATGAAAGATGCCTGGTTCGTCCTGTTTGCGGATGGGCATCTGGCATGGAACTTCAACGGCTATTACACCGGATTGAACAAGATTTTGATGGAATCTGCGCCGGGTGCCGTCAGTGTGAGTCCAGGAAACTAGCCTTCATGATGACATGAGTACAGCGCTGATGCAACCCAGTATGTCGCCATATCGCCCTACAACAAACAGCACTACTTCATCGCCTTCACAGATCGCCGCGTCAACTACAATTTCCAGGGAGGCCCTTCGGAATGGACGCGACTTATGAATCAAGTCTTCGAGTTATGGGCCGCTGAAAGCAAACGATTGCAAACTGCAAACGCGCCACGTTGGCATCAGCCGCAGGTACAACCGTATGTGCATGCGCAACCATCGCCAGCGCAAACATATCTTCACCCGCAGTCGACGCATATCGTCAGTGCTTCTCGACTACCAATGGCCATGCCGGTGTCGCCAACCTCAGTGCCGAGTACGCCGGCGCCGATGTACGTCAGCCCTGTGCAACAGAACGCCGTGCCAAACATCGCGCCCGTGGAGAAGACGCCGGAGTATGGTGTTGTCGATGTACCAGTAGAGCTTCCTGGACAAGCAATGTTTTCCCCGGCATATACGATGGCGAGTGTACCAGAGAAAGAACCAGCGAAGAAGAGGAGAAGCTTCTTGTCCAAGCTGTTCTAGGCCAGCATCATGAACATTGCTGGACTCCGCCTCGCTTCTCACCATCTCCAGTATCTCATAATGCTGTATGATAGCGCTCAAGAGTCGCAGCTTACATGTGCCGGCATCCTCGTCGGTGCGACTACACATGCAGCTCCGTACTTACCTTCCTGATTGGCGCGCACAGCCGAACGTGCAGGTGCACCTCTGCCGATCACCACGGACATGCATATCCACCACAAGAGTGGGAGAGCCATCACGTCACGATGCAGGGTCCTTTCGGTGCTTCTTATAATACGCCCTATCATTGCTAGCTTTCAGAACACTGCCAGTTGCAATATACAAGTAGAGCTTCTCCCCGCTTTCGATTTCTTGCGCATTCATCCTGACGGGTAGTCACCAGCATCATGGCAGCTATTGCAAGAGCCTGGAAAGTGGGGGCGCTCACAACGTTCTTTCTGGCAACGATAGCGCATGCTACTGAACCCACGGTCACAGTGCTGAATGGAACATACGAAGGCGTACATCTCCCTTCGTTCAATCAAGACATCTTCTTAGGCATCCCATATGCGCAAGATACGGGAGGTCAGAATCGCTTTCGCATACCACAATCATTGAACACGACATGGAATGGCACGCGCCCTGCCAAATCGTACGGAGACAGCTGTCCGGATCCCTCGGCTGCCAACTTCAGCATGAGCGAAGACTGCTTGAGCATCAACATCGTTCGTCCAGCGGGTCTCTCACACAACGACTACGCAAAGCTGCCTGTTGCGCTATGGATCCATGGAGGAAGCTACCAAGTCGGCACCAGTGCGCTTGCGAACTACAACCTGACATACATTGTTCAAAGAAGCGTGGAAATCGGCCAGCCCATCATTGCAGCCAGCATCAACTACCGCAAAGGCGGATGGGGTATGTTATACTCGCGAGAGATCCAAGGTGCCGGCCAGACGAACCTTGCGCTTCGAGACATGCGCAAAGGACTTGCCTGGATTTCAGAGAACATTGAAGCATTTGGCGGCGACAAGGACAGCGTCACTATCTGGGGCGAGTCTGCTGGGAGCTTCGCAGTAGGCCAGCTACTCATGTCGTACGGCGGCCGAACAGACAACTTGTTCCACCGCAGCATCCAAGAGTCTGGGTCTGCAGCGACGGCATGGTACAACGGCACAGATTGGTACCAGCCCATCTACGACAACATCGTTGACAAAGCGAACTGCACAGATGAAGTCGACACGCTCGCCTGTTTGCGTACCCTACCATACGAAGCCATCTTCCCACTCCTCGCAGCCTCAAGCCAAGGCCCAGGCTGGTACCCCATCGTCGACGGCGACATCATCCCCGCCTACCCCACCGAGCTCCTCGCCTCAGGCCGTTTCGCACACATCCCGCATCTCTACGGCACCAACTCGGACGAAGGCACCGACAACGCACCAGCCGGCGGTGTCATCAACACCGACGAAGACCTATACGCCTTCCTCGCCAACAGCACAGGTTTCGACTTCCCCGACGCCGTCATCAAGCGCATCATGGAATTGTACCCCAACGACCCCACCATCGGTATCCCGCTCAACACCGGCGTCGAGCTCTTCGCCGAACAGGGCCTTCAGTATAAGCGCATCGCCGCCATCATGGGCGACGTCTTCTACCACGCGACCCGCCTGGCCGACGCCCGCGCTTACTCCAAGTACTCGCCTACGTACATATACCGGTTCAACACGCTCCCATGGCAAAACAGTAACACCGCCAGCGAAGGCGGCAATCCGCGCGCCTACAAGGGCGTCGCGCATTTCACTGAGGTGGCTTTTGTTTTTGCTAATCCTAACTTCTATGGCCCATGGGAGGAGTACAAGAAGCTGGCCGAGCAGGTGAGTGCGCAGTGGATTCGCTTTGTGGCGAAGGGTGATCCAAATGGTGAAGCTCTGCCCAGGTGGCCGCAGTATGACGAGGGTAAGAGTGGAAGGGGACTGGATCTTGTTCTTCAGGCGGAGGGGAGGGGGTATAATGGGAGTTATGTTGAGGAGGATGCTTGGAGGATTGAGGGGAGGGAGTTTCTTACTAAGTGGGCGAGAAGGAGACATGTTTAGAGTGGGGAGGTGGTGGGGAGAGAAGGTGTTGGGAAGATAGAGACTTGTTTGAGATGTGTAGTAGTGTGTACACTGCGAGCAGATACGTAGTTGCAAGGAGTCTAATCATTAAGTCTGTTTATTGCAAGTAACAAGTCTAAAAGAGAGGCAAGTGAAGTACGAGCTATATCAAGACATTAAGGCAGAGAAGAAGCAAGATGTTCGACCAAAGCAAGTCAAGAAAGAAGCCGAACATAGAAGGTAAGTAAGAACTCTGGTTAAGAAAGAAGCAGATGAAGCAAAGAAGAAGAAGAAGTCAAATGAAGTTAAAGAAGAAGTTGAGTGAGGTATATGATAGATTCATTGATGCTGAGGCGAAACCTTGAAGTATCCTTGAGAAGAAGTCCAACCCGATATCCAACCACTCCAACCAAAGTCCAACCAAGAAGCGACCACCAGATGAAGCCCATATCCACCAGCCATCAGCAAACCAATGTCCAAAACCTCAAAGCTAATCTAAAACCCAATGCAAACATCGACCACCGACTGCAGGCACTCTCACCTCAAGTCTCTCATACCTTTCGCATGCTGCATTTCTCGAATTGATCCAAACTCAAAAGAGCCGCCATCAAGAAGTGTGCAGGGGAATGATCTGGGCGAGCAAGCTCAAACTGGCGAAGAACTTCAAATCTCCAAGGTAGGCCCAGCTTAGTACCGAAGCACCATAGACTGTCTGTCCTCCAGCACCTTGATGTGAGAATGAAGTCTCCTCCAGATCATGTCCACCAGCCATGGGGCCTTGCCGAAGCAAGCCTTGTAGGCCCAAAGCGAGATCCCATCGAGATCTGTAATGTCCGTCTCTTACTGTCTTTGACCATTGTATCCTGCACTTCCCACCAGTATGTTTCCACCACCAAGTATCCAATCCATCCAAACAACTTGACTTTCGTGCGACCCGGGTTGGCGTGAACATGCGATGCTGGCCTGAAGAGGGCTTGAGGTGGATGCTGAAGAGCTCGATCGTGGCCTAGAGTGTAGGGCTTTGAGGAGGTTGGCGACGATGTTGAGCGAAGATTGGAGCGATCCGAAGCGAAGTGAATGTGGTAGAAGGCGACAGCAAGCTGAAAAAGGTTAGAAGACTGAATAAAGAAGAAGCCAGGAAGATACTTACCATGTTCAATGGCGAAGGAGGATGTTGGAAGAGTGACCATGGCTCATGGTGAAGGAAGGTTGATCATCGATGGATGTGATGTTGGACCAAGATTGGATAAAGTGTTGATGACCAAGTAAGGTGTGAAGATTGTTGAGCAGTGATGTTGATTGAGGAAGAGTGAAGCTCAGTAAGGTTGGAAGTAGTCGACATATATGAGTGAAGGTATGATGTCATGTGACAAAGTGGAAGTGATCCAAAGTAGTGATGAAGTATTGAGCCATGGTCGAAGTGAGTGAAGGAAGGATGTTTGTTGAAGAAATGAGTGACGAGAAGTTGGAATTCTTCGAGTTGGGGTAAAAGATTGTGGGGTTTGTGGTAAAAGAGTGTAGGTCGGAGGGGGGAAATGGGCTTTATATGTGGCTGCCAAGAGCCTGCGCACGGGCAGGCACTAGGAACCGGCGCTGTTGCTCCGGCCGGTGTTCTGCCGGCGACAGGAAGGTCGGAAACACCAGGTGAAGGCGGGTATAGAAGGGCTTCGTCGGCGGTGGAAGGCCGCGCGGGCGTTGCCAGGTGAGAGTGAGAAACCACCAAGTCAAAATATGCGAGGTGGAGTGGCCCGTGCGGCCTCATCAGATAGCGAGAACGCGAAATTTCAGCAGGTCAAGCAGAGACTGAGAGATGTGATGGGTTTGCTGACATTTATGAAGCCAGTGAGGGTGTGCTTGACGGGCAGTGCGATAGTACACAAGTATCGACTGACTGAGCGAACATGAAGATACGCGAGAACATCGAAGTTCGAGATTGAAAAGTGAGTATGCGCTGTTCTTGTAGCAAATCTTGAAGACAGCGTGCTCAGTGTGCAAGACGTGTCGATGCTGGCCTATTGATATAGCAATGGTGGAAGTACGTGGCGAGCTTTCGAGAGCCAAAGCTGTGGTATCCGCTTGGGTTATGCTTCTTAGATGCTTCTCGCTGTGTTATGTGAGCCATGAGCGCCTCGGAGCAAGCTCATCAAAGTTGTTGAAATTGCTTAGAAGGAGCTGAGCTTGCCGACCTCGATGGGCGAGTTTCTAATGACGACAGCAAGGCCAGACTGACGGCACGCGCCCGAGACGGCGAGTAAAACACTCTTTGAATGCGCAAGATCAATGCCGCTATACTCATGGCCCAGGAACTCCACTGAGTGCTTCCGCGACGCCGGTATTCACTTGCGGCGGACGAAATCAGTACGTATCCACGATCCGAGTCGAGAATGAGCAGCGACAAGATTGACCGCCGTAACCAGTCCCTAGAGGCGCAAGTACCAGTCTCTTTCGATGAGTCAAGTCCCATTCCAGCGCTGCATAGCTGCTACTCATTCGCGCCGACCAAGAGCATGTCGTCGAAGCTGTTTCGTGCAACATACGAACGCGACGGCTAGTTTCACCTTACATACGAAACAAGCAGCTGTAGTGATGCGGAATTGGTTCAGCAGACGGAGGCCGAGCATACGAGACGAGACACTGACCAGACGCAATCGGGCCTGCGCGGCAGGAAGACACCATATGTCACATCTGGGAAGACAAGCAAGCAATGAGGATAACGTGGGAACACGGATGCGAATTGAGACATATGTGATATTGGTAGCGGTAAAACATTGTGGGATGAACTGAACGCCATAGACAGTAAATGTGTTGACAGCGAGCATATAAGATTTTGTGGCCTGCGCTGTCCTTGTAGCAGAACCTGAGCGCCTGACTGGCACCGGCGGTCAGGTAGAAGCTGCTAGACAGAGCCTGTGTACTCCAGAGTGCCGCCCTAGAGTTGAAGGAGGCTTTGTGATGTGACACTCTGATGTGTTGGCATACTATCCCACGGCCTGAGGTACAGTTGCGCCTTCATCGCCGGGTGTGGGAACAAGGCGAGTGCGGGCACGAGGTATGCGGTCGCTGTAGGGAGGCGAAGGCGCGCTCATCTAAGAGCAGATCCAAGGGCATATAAAGGCACATCAAGGCGGCGTATCGTGTGGAGCAGAGCTTGCTCGACGGGAGCGGTGCGATTCATTTCGGCGACCCAGCTGAGGCGCCGGCTGTGTTCGCTGAATAAGTGGCGTCTGCGTTTGTTGAAATTGTTGCACTTCCGAGGCTTGCGGCATACGTTACGGTTGCGGTTTTTCATGTTGCTGTACCTGTGGAGCTTGCTGCATACGCTGCCATTGCTGCGCAAGCTGTCGCTGCCCGAGCTGAAGCGGCAATTTCTTGAACAATCGGAACATCCTCGGGTAGCTCGTATGCTTCAAGGGATCGTATGAGATATAATCGGAATGTCGACTTCAACCCGTATGCGTATGAATCCAAAAATCCCTCTCCTTCATCCTCCCCTCATCAATCCCATCCAAAACACCCCTCACCCACCTCGGCGGCCCCCTCATCCCCTCCTCTCTACCCATGTCCGTCCCCGTCAACGGACAAGTAACAAAGCCCCTCTCTTCCGCCAGTCTGCCCACCTCTTCAACGATCTTCAAACCCTCATTCCCAGTACCGGACGGAGCAGCATCTAGCCGATCACGACGTTCCTGCAGTTTGCGCTCTATGAAGGAGGACGCGGAGTCGAGGCCATGGGAGGCGAGGCGCTGGAAGGAGTGTATGAAGCGGTTTATGATGTCGATGAGGATGCGGTAGGCGAGTTCGGTTAGGATTGCTGTGCCGGTTTGTTGGGTGAAGAGGTGGGAGGAGATGAGGGAGCTGGAAAACGAGCGGGTTGTTAGGGAGGTGGACGGCCCTGGGCGGTAGAGTGTGAGGGATGATGAGACTGTCATGGTGATTTGTTGCTAGTAGGTATGGCTATGGAGGCAGTGCCGTTGCGAGTTCGTGAAGAAATGTATACTGGAGCTTGAGGCACAAGCAGCGGAACCTCTACATATGTACGCCTCATCTTCCTGTACGGCGTCCACGGCGTCCTACCTAATACTTCAACCCATTGCCTTACGCCGATAAACTCTGAAACTCCCTGCGCGATGCTGTCGCAAAGCTAACTACTCGGAGTTCCCTACCACCGACCGCGAGATGCAGATTACGGCAGCTGCCCGCCTCACCGGGGCCCGCGGACGCCGAGCTGCACCGCCGCTCCCTCATCACCGAGCTTCAACACGCGATACCCTTTTTCGCACGCCCAGGTGCGCTTACGTGAGATGCACTTCTTCACCGACGGCATCTCCCATTCCCATGTCTTTCTGCACGACGGGCAAATCTAACTCAACGAGCCAGGGTGGGTGTTCGAGAACGCCGGGCTCAGTTCCTTCCATCGCCGCGTTCACGCAGAGCGTCTGCTGTTTGTTCTCTCGGAACTTATGAGCGGGGCCTGGTGGCAGGCTTTTGTATCCCTTCCTATGCGCTGAGTTCGTTCCTACCCAGACTTTGGTTATCTTATCAGTGTCGACATCGCGGGCGCCATCTCGCTCCGCTTCCCCTCTGAAGTCCAGCACGTGTGCTTGGTAGAACCAGCGACGCGGCGTGTGGATGTGGCCGAAGCAATGCATTCGTGGTTGCGCCCTTGCGATGGCGCGGCGCAGGTGCTCGCAGCCTGCGCTTTCGTCGTCAGAGGTCGTGTCTAGGATGTATTTTGGGGGGCCGTGGGTCATGACGATGTCGACGTCGTTGGGGATGGTCGAGGTCGAGGTAGCGACGTTCTTCGCCCACGGCGGAGTGCCTGTGGAATTGAAACGGTCTTCGTTTGATGGGTACTGGAATGCTGATGCGCCGTAGAGGGGCGTGTATGGTGAGGCGTATATTTTGAATGTCGCGCCGCCTGCTAGCCTAAAGGTATGTGTGCCTTCTCTTAAGAAGGTGATGCCATTTATGCTTGCTTCGGAACTTGCCTCTGAGCTCACAAGCGCCTCTGCTCGTTCTGCATCGGCTTCAGTTCCGCCCTGGGAGAGCCAGTATGGTTTGTCAAGAGAGATGTCGTGGTTGCCAGCGATGACAAGCTTCAGCTTGGCTTCGACTTTGCCCAGCGTCTGGAGTGCCGCGGAAATACTGTCCGGTGTGCCATCTTCTGTCAAGTCGCCACAGTGCAGGAGTACATCGCATGGCGGGAGGTTTCCCGGTAGTTCAGCCCCATGCGTGTCTGATAGTATGAGGAAGCGGACGGGGGTCGAGAGAGTATGTGCGCCTTCAAGTCGAACACGTTTAGCAGGTCGCATGGATTTCATCGTAGAGTGCAGGAGTTTCAAGACGGTGAGATGTGTTAAGGAAGTGTCTAGAGGTGCTAGAGTATGAGCGTATGTGTAGATTCTTGCATTCTCTCATCCATGTAGACATCATGAAAATCTAATAAATTTGCATGTTTGCTGCGAACCAAGGTTGAGAAGTGAGCTAGCCAACGCTCACGATCGACACTGAGGCGACTCGTACAAGAGCAAAAATGAACAGGTCTGCAGACTACATCCAGACAAAAACGTGCAAAGTAGGTAAGCCAAAGTCATTGTAGGCTCCCGAGGTCTACGTTGTCCAGATTTTCCATAGGTCAATGTAGAGGCACGAAAGTATGCTTAGTCTTCACGGGCTTAACAAGGCTATCATCAAGACTGGCAAAATGTTCGATGAGTGCAGACAATGGCGTTTGATTATTGTCATCTACTAATACAAGTATCGAAGGTATCGTAAAGCAGCATGTAAGGAAAACATCGCCATTGACCGTTCAAGGGAGCGACCGCTCCATTATCAATTAACCCAAATGATCCACCACCACCGCTTGCGAACCTACAAGCTGGCCACAAGCGCCGGAAGCACACTCCTGCTAGTGTAAGCCCAGCTGCTGGAGCTATCATGCGCCCTCCACGCAGCACCAGTCCAGAAAGTGTTGCGCTTGCTCTGCAGAGCATACAAGTCCTTGTAGAAGCCGTTCTTAGTCGCCTCGCCTCCGACCATCATGTTGTAGGGGCTGTGGTTGCTGAAAGCGACGATTTCAGGCTCGGGACCGGTCATGTTGTTCATAGCGTGGAAGCGCTTGAGGTCCGCAAGGATGGCAGCCTGGGCCTCCTCGTCGCTGAGGTGCTGGCCGACCTTGGTGCCGTAGAAGACCTGGTTGAGTGTAGGGTTGACGGTGGGGAAGACGTTGTAGATGGCGGGCATGGGTGGCAGCGCGTATGGCTTGTCAAGTGCGAGGTTGTTGAGGGTGACGTTGGTAGGGGCGGCGTGCCTGATGATGGCGGTGTAGTAGCCGACGGATGTGAATTGGCTGAAGATCTTCATCTCATCGCCGCTGGGGTCGAAGGGGGTGAGGTTCTCGGGCGTGGGGGGGATGGCCATGAGGATCTTCTTGGCTTGGATGAGACGCTGGCCCTTGGGGGTATCGACGAGGACCTTGACTCCGCCATCGACCTTGCTCACGCGCGCGGTCTTTCGGACCCTGGAGGACAGGAGTACAGAGTTGGAGGCAAGGAGCTCGGCAGTGAGTGCCTCGAAGAGCATGCTGTTGTTCATCACCGAGCTGGTCTTGAAGCTCTGCATGGTCTTCAGGAGACCGAGAGACATGGTGCGGATCTGCTGGATGGCAGGAAGCTCAAGGATGTCACCAAAGGCGGAGGTGAGACCGAAGATGGTCTGTACTGCATCCGCGATATCGTACTTCTGGACGAACTGGCCGAACGGCATGTAGAGGTCCTCAGGAACGGGGTCGGGGAGGTAGAAGCCACCCTCAAGTTCAGGCCACTGTGCGATGACGGCGCCGTACTTCGCGAGAGCAACAGCCAAGGCGGTTTGGTTGGCAGGAGGGAGACCCTGCATCACCTGGCCAGTCCTGAAGTCAACCTGCTGGGTTGGGCCGGTAGGGAACGGGCTTGCTGGTCCCAGAGTGAGGTTGAAGCGTGCGAACCACTGGTGCACCAAAGGTTCGTCATGGTACAGCTTCACTCCCATGTCGATGGGGAATCCAGTCTCGAGGTCCATGTAGGTTTCGGTGTGGCCTCCAAGGCGGTGCGAACTCTCAACAACCACGACCCTCTTGCCCATGTCCTTGAGCTGAATGGCAGAGTAAGCACCCATACCTCCACCTCCGATGATGACAACATCAGTGTCAATAACCTGCTCCGGGTTGTAGTACCTAGCCTCCATCTTGGACGACCTGGGCGCTGCCATAGCGAAAGGAAGGGCGATCACCGCCGCGGCGGTGATTGAAACGAATGAACGCATGATTGAATTAGTCTTGCAAGATAATATGAAAGCTGAAAGAGCGACTGAGGTTGGTGATCGTCTGGCATACCAGACCTATTGTATTTATATTGCCACCAGCATGGCCGATGTATGTGCGGTGGCTCTTCCAGTTCGGTCCTACTGTGTGGATCGAGGTGTAATCAAAGTAGGACCGCGCATTCGGAAGAATCGACGACAAGCATCGCTACTAGCTTTGAATGGGGCGTCAAAAGTCCATTTACAAGGGGAGAGTCCAGGGTGTGTGCTGTAGCGCTGATGGGCGCTGTAGAGCTACTGCAATTTGAAGCACGACAAAGGAGTACTAGCATTTCGTATAGCCTACTAGTCGTCGGCTTGTCCCATAACCACGCGAGCTTGACGTTGAAGAAGAAGGAGGCGTTCAACGGCTACATGGCGTTACCCGTAAGGCGGTATGAGGTTCATGGTTTGTGGTGATAATCCTTAGTATCGATGCGCCAGCTTGGGCGTCCTGTCACGCCGTTGATCACCATGTGGTATTGGCTCAGGACCACTTCCCCGGATCGGAGTCGACACCATGATAAATTTCGCCGCTAGCTCACTGCTGGTGGAGATACTGTACTGATGTTAAGGCTGACGCTGACCACGCTCAAAGCGCCGCGTTCGGGGCGTTCGTCCGCGCTTAGGACGTGTTCATGGACCGTTGAGGCTCTCGGCACTACCTGGGTTCCCCTTGAAATTCTTGGAGCATCGACGATTGGTGGGGGAACAGAGAGAAGTACACTTCAGTCTTCGTGCAGCCATGCGGAAGTCGGCACCACTTTTACTCACGCCGTGTCTGTGAGAGAGTTCGTTCTCCATGTTTCGTACGCGATTGACGTTCTGCGAAGGCTCCTGACCCATGACGCATGAAGCCTCCGCAGAGATCCGATATAGAGCATTGATGAATTTCCTGGTTAGCACCCACCAATGATGATTTGCTGCAGGACATAGCTTGTTCTGATACGTAAGCGCAAAGCTTGATGTATACCGACCGATGGTCTCCTGAAAGTAGGACGCCCAAACCTCATTTTGGGACGCACCTAACGCGTGGCCAAGCCAAAGGTGGCAGTGAAAGTGGATTCGTGGTGTTGATGGGTCGTTGGAGGCTACGGCAAAAAAGAGGGTTAATAAGGTAGCCTCGCTGACGCGCACCTGGGCAGTTGCCAGCGATGGCACGTGCGTGAACAGATCACAAGTGTAATGCGCCGGTACATCACAGCGCGAAGATAAAGCCAAGCTACCGAGACGCCGTGTAAGATGACGATCGCTTCACGGTCGCTCTCTGTAGTCATCCGAGTGTGCCTAGATTCTGCTTTTCGTTTTCGAGGGTGTAAGACCTAACAAATGCCGGCACTAAGATGTCATTGCAGCGACCGCCTGAAGCAATTTCAACATGTAGATGAAAACATCAGAAACCAATGGGGAACTAGCAAGATGGCTTCAGATGAGAGATTGGTGGTATGATGCTGCCCAGATGGGTCGCAGATTGTGAACCAGGGATGATGGTAGCGGCAACGTGACGGCGCGTCTTTTTCGAGAACCTTGGAACCCCACCAAAATTAGAGCGCGCCTCTACACTCCCACAACTGCTGGATCCCATAACGCAGATGTTGACGCCACGACAGCCACAAGCCCGCTTCGATATTTACTGCAACGAAGATGTCGTTATTTGGTGGTAGCGCTCCGCCACCGCCCTCCTCCTACGAATCGACGACCTCATCGTCTTCATCGGCGCGCTCGTCGCCGTCAGTCGAGGAGATCCCGGACCCACGCAACGTGCAAGAAGCACAGACTCCCGCTATCCCGATTTCTTTAGACGTAAACGACGACCTGGATACCGATAGCGAGTCGGCACGCGACGGGTCTGAGGAAGAGGACAACGACGACGACGTACCGGCGCGCCCGAATCGCTTTGACGGACCGCCCCAAACATGGCAGAGCTACACAGAAGCGGATCGCCAGATAGCCGACTCCCTCGATCAGCTGCAAGAGACAGATCTCGCAGTACACCTGTATAACGCGCATGCGCTCAAGCGGCGGTTACGACGGGCCCCAGAAGACACGGCGAAGGTCAAGAACTGGCAGAGTAGGGACAACTGGCTCAAAACTGGAGAGGACCTTGAATACGTGGATGCGGCAGGATTTACGCAGACGGCGGTCGTGCCTCCCAAAGATTGGACGGCATGGCCAATCCCTCCAGACGAAGAGCCTCCGAACGACCATGTGGACGACTGGACTATTGGAAGTGCAAACACCGGAGATGCAGGAGATGAGCTGCGAGAAGAACTCCTAGCTGTTTTCTTGCGGCTGGCTAAAGAGAAGTGGAACTCACGCGAAACGCCCTCGTCTGACTCCGACGCTGGAGACCACATATCAGCTTCGCGAAGCAGATCTCGATCGCATAGCGCCAATGCTGCGAATTCGGGCAAAGCGCCCAGGCCTGAAGTCAGGACAGACGGTGATGACGACGGCAACGAAACCGAGCGCGATCATGCGACGGGGAAGAAACGCGGCAGGAAACCTCGGACAGAGAAGCTCATGGAGCCGGCTCTGTTAGCAGACGACGCAAGGGCACAGCGACTTCTCCAGCCGACAATACAGAACATGATGGGTAAGCTAGACGAGCTTGCCATGGCCATCCGCCGAACGCGCGTCAATCACTTTGGTCGTGGAGAGCCAGGCGATTCTTCCATGAGCGAATACACTTCAGGTGCCGAGTCGAGCGGTCCGAGATCAAGGTCTACATCAAGAGCCCGATCGAAGAGCGCGACAAGCCGCAGATCTAGCACCCGACCACCTTCGCGCGCAACGTCTAGAGAGGTCGATCGCACAGTACGACAAAAGACAAAAGCCGCCAGAAAGGCAACATATGGAAGAGAGCCCGCCAATGACGATGAAATCTCAAGCGGAGGATCTGACTGGGAAAAGTCCAACAAAATCCCTCACGAGAGGAAGCGTCGCAGGTCCTCCAGCACCATGGGAGATAGCG